CACGAGCCATCAGGTCACGCCCAGCCGCAGCCAGCTCACAGCGGAGCGGTCAGGCAGACTGACTGACACCGCGTTAACGAAACATACTGCATCCATGCACGCTCACAGGATATCACACACGCTGTTCACTTGAATTCGCACTAAAAACATGCAAACAGACACAAGCATGCAACACTGTCACCGGTTTGAGCAAGCACACTACGGCATACATAACGTTCACCAACAGAGGCACAGTGAGACTTGCACAAGGTCCGGTCCGCCAAGGCTGCCCCTCGCGATCTGGTGTTAAGAAGTTGTTCACGCCGGACGCGCGGGCGGCGAGAGTGCAATATGAAGAAGTTCGTGCGATTGTGGCGGGAGAAGGCGACAGAAGCGGACGAAGCGACGCTCTCGCCGGCCAGCGACCGCTCCCGTTTCGTCGCGCAGCAGCCGCCGCCGTCACGGGAGTGGCCCTCCAGGACGCCCTCGCCGGCGGGCTCCGCGCGCCGGGCGGCGCCGCCCTCGGAGGAGACGGCGGCGGAGCTGACGCCGCCCGGCCGCCGCGGATCGGAGGCGGCGGCCAGCCGCGCCTCGCGTCTCTTGCCGCTCAGCTGGAGCAAGAGGCGGCCGAGGGGCGACGCGAAGCAGCAGCCCGAGGACCGCTCGGCCCGCTCGCCCGACGAGCGGCGCCGCAGCGACGTTGGCAGGAGCCGGGTGGAGCCGCCCCGGCCGCCCCCGCCACAACTGTGGTCCGCGCACGGTCGGGAGGAGCCGCCTCGACCACCGCCGCCACGGCCCGAGTTCGGGTACGGCAGGGAGGCGTCCGGCAGACGCTCCGACTGGGCAGCGCAGGAGCCAAGCCGAGCTCAGGACCGGCCACAAGGCTACCACGGTCAGCAGATGGTTCGGAGGCGGCACCAGATGGGTGCGGGGTACGCCGGTTACCAGGAGGTTCACGGAAGGAGCTCTGACTCGGCGAGCCAAGAGGGGACGTACTGGCGGCAGGCACGTGTCCGCACCTATAGGAGTCAGGAGGAGCTGCGGCCGATCACGGAAACTGACGCCGTGCACGGCTCTCAAGAAGATTATCATAGAAGGCAGTCCGTTGGCTACAGGTTCACGGCCGAAAAGGAGTCGCGTTTGGGTCAGGAGACCTACGGTAGTGAGGGGAATCTTCACAGAAGCCAGCGAACCAGCTATGAGTTCATGCCTCAGGGGGGACTCCAGTGGAGTCACGAAGACAGCCAAAGCTCTAGTGGCCAGGAACGCATGGTTCGTACCAACCCAAACGGCTACCGACCCAGCAGTCACGAAAATCTGTTTACGAGTCGAAGTGAACCATTCGTAAACCTGCCAAACACGCGAAGTTCAGCCAGCCACGAGACGCTCCCTCATAGTCGGAGTGACGCCGGTGACTGGGGCTTTCAGGCCAGTGACGCCAATGTCCGGACACATCGCGTCCAGGGCGCGACGTCCAGGACTGGTCACTACCCCAGCAGCCGCACTGAGGTGCACGACAGGCACCAGACGGCTCTCACGTCCAGCAGTGGGGAGAGTGATGCCACTTTACGCGGCGGTGCCCTGGCAGACCGCTTCACCGGTCTTGGTAAGGCCTATCGGGCCCTGGCCGGCCGTCGGACCAGTGCACTCGACGGCAGCCCCGTTCCGGGCGACGACGGCCGGCAGGTGAGCCTCGGCTCGCCGCCGAGCGGTCCCGACGGCGCCTCGGCTGACGAAGCCGCCCGGACCGCCCCCGGATCTGCCGCCGCCGGCAGCGCCGACGGGGCCGGCACCGACGGAGGGCCCGGCTCCCGGAGCCGAGAGGACGGGCGCGGCTCGCGCGCCGGCCGCGCCAGCCGCAGCCGGGCGAACTTGCTGCAGCTGCTGGGCGACCCCCTGGACGTGCCGGAGCTGTGGGAGGAGGAGGAGGAAGCTGCGGCGTCTGGCGTCCCCCGGCTGGCAACCGATCGCGCTGCGCTGCAGCGGGACGAGACGGTCGGGACGTCGGCCAGCCCGGCGATGTCTGCCAGTGCCGGCCGTGCGGTCGGCCCGGCCTACCTGGCCTGGCAGCCGGCCGTCTGTGCAGCTGATGCGCCGCTTCGGCCGTCGTCCGTCCCGAGTGACCTCACGGAACCGGCACGACGCCAGCCTAAGGCAATGGTTTCGGAGCGTCCTCATGGCCGCGCAGGAGTTAACCGTCCGTTCGGGCGTGAGGCGTGACATGCCCGGGCCTGGCAGGCACCTGTTGGATTCTGTCAGGGACGCGTTGGAGTCCAGCGGGGAACCACTGGAGTCTGTCGGGAATGCGCACGAGTCCGACGGCGACGTGCTCGATGAGCAGGACGCGTCCAGCCTGCGGGCGGACTCGCCGGCGCCGCCGTACCGCGAGAGGGACCCGCTGGCCGACCGGCCACCGCCGCCACCGTACCGGCCGCGGCAGGCCGAGATGGCCGCTGGCGCGGGCCACACTGGCGCTGAGCTTCAGCCCGCGGCCGCCGGCACGCCCAGCGCTACCACGTCCGCCGCCACCGCGGAGGGCGGCGCGGTAAAGTGGAGCTCGGTGGTGAGTGGTGTGGCCTCACCTGGGGTCTGTGAGGAGGTCTGGTGTCAAAGCCGTTACCCGGCCGGCCAACCGGACAGCGTTATCCGGATCGGCAACGGCCACTTCAGTTGCATAAGGCGACATCAACCACGTGTAGCTCGTAGCTCGTCGCTGCGCGTAGCATGTAGCTATTGGAACGGAGTACAACGTTTCGACGTTTTACAAGATGCGCTGCGTGATTCCCTTAGCTATATGGTTGTGGGTTCTTTGCGGACAATAATCGACTTCCAGCGTACCAGGAGGTGCTGGTTGAACGACGCTATCACACAAACATTGACCACATTGTCCAAACCTGACGCTTCAAGCTTTGCTCATGGTCATGAGTGACCGCATACTCTTGGAGCATGTCGTAGCATGATCATGAATGTCGTTGAACCAGCATGCTGACGAGTGATTATTATCAGCACAGGGGCTCCCAACCCATGCCGAAAAACAGGAACTCAATGCCTTCCTTGTTTACATCAAGTGTTCCCTTAGCTTATCGTGGCATAAGCTGTTCGAGGCTCATGCCGCTTGCTTCGATAATCCGATAACTTCCATCTGAGTCTGACATGTCGTACTCTTGATTTCGCTGCAATGCGGCCATTTTCCTGTGGTCGGCCCGCCTCCCGTAATGAGGCGAATGTCACGGAACTCGATGAGTTATCGTCCGATCCCATTAGGCCCGGTGTAACAAACGCTCACGGCGTCCTCTGATTAGACTAATTGCTTCCATTGAGAAGGCTGACCTGCCTCTGTAGGGGTGTAGTTCCGTGCCTGGTGGCAGTTCAATCTGCCTGATTTTCCGTCGGCCACGGTCGATCGGCGAAAGTGGATGCGCCAAGCCCGGCATGTCGCGGTTTGGTTGGGGGGGGGGGGGGGGGGGGGGGAGTGCGAAACTCTGGCTGATGACCGATGTCAAAGTGTTCCATTTGGCTAGATTTCCATGGTTGGTGCCGCGTTTTGGCTAATTAAAGCACCCAAATGTTTACAAAATTCATATGGGTAAAACCAGGGCGAGCAAACTATGCCGAGTGACACGTCAGCTGCCACAATCTGGGAATAAAAACAAACGAAAATATTGGGTCGATATCATGCCCACAGAGTAGACCTGAGGCGCGCGGGCTGCTGTTAATCTAAGTAGGTAGTGTGGCTCCAATCAGCGCTGAAAATAAGCACGAGAGCTGATTCTGGGCTTTCTGCTCGACTACATTTTCCCTTTGCAATGCATTCCGTATAGATGAAGGTCATGTTAATGTCATTCTCGCTCCACGCCAGATGGAACTGTTCGTTTGCCAGGGCTGTCAGGTATATACAGGAGTCCCGCCATAGTCCGAATTAGAGATGTTCCGCATCGCCATCAACTCACCAGCATCTCCGGCATCTCCGGCATCTCTGGATCTCACCGGCATCTCCGGACCCTCGCACGGCGTCGACGGTTACGCCGCGTCCGCCCAGTCAAGTTCGCGGCGGGACCCTGGCGTGCTGAACCGAGTGCGACGATAGGTTGGCTAATCGCCCCAGGGGACCAATGCGGCCAGCTGACAAACGACCCCGGCTGTCGCCGCACCGGCACGCAAGGTGTGGCGGCGTCCATCGTCAGTGACGCCAGGGTCAGCCGGCTGAAGCGGTCTTCGTGATTCTCGTTGTCTCTGTTTCAATAGAATTTCGTTTTACGTCACTGGCTCCGACCAGCGGTGATGTTTTTTTTTAATGTTTCGTGCGGAGGAGATTGGGCAGCTGTCGGCGGCCGAGGTGTTGACGTGCCAGCGGTCTTGTCACCACTCACTGTCACCACCACTCTGGTCGAGCATCACCAACGGGCACAAGCCCCGCGCCCCCGCCCTCCCCCCGCGGCTGGGACGCCCGAAGTGGAGACGGCGAGGGTTGATGATGAGGACTGCGTGTCGATCGGCTCATGGCGGCCGTGCCAGGCCGGGCGGTGGGCGACTGCGCCCGGCGCCGACCGCTCATGGCTGAGGCGCCGCCGCCGCCGCCGCCGGGGCAGCCGGAGTGACGCGGCACCGGCCGCTGCGTGCCGCTCGCACCGACGAGTGGGGCTGAAGCAGCTTAATGTCGGAAGTTGGGCCATAGAGGAGCTGGCTCTGGCCGTTATGGATAGCCCTGCTGGTAGCCTGAAATTTAGCGCCTGCTGCTTCAACGTGATGCTTGCCATTTTCTTGTGCAAAGGTATGGACGGGAAAAGTACTGGCTGGGCAAGCTTCTGTATAATACCCGAAACGCTCTTTCCAAAAAAGTGGTCGGTTGCGCGGTCAGATTTGAGGTGATTGGTGTTACTAAATGACATTCAACGTGTTCTCCCTGTGATGCCGCTGAATGTCTGTTGCCCATGAATCTGGTCAACCAAACCTCGATGCCTTGTTATTTTTCTCCCAGACATATGATGTTGATGCGGCGTGGCTTTCTGTGTTTGTTTCAGAGTTATCCGTCTAGTCCGCGGGTAGCATACGTTGAGCTCGTGTCCACGGAGAAGGCTGGCGGCCTCCTGACCACCTCAGAGGTCACCCAGTCCGCCGGCCTTGTGACCTCAGGTCAGGTCGACACCGATCCTGGACGGCGGGTCACATTCTTAGGTCAGCTCGTCATAAAAGCCGCGCGGATCTCTGACGATAGCTGCCTTCTGTCTGAAATATGGAAACCCTACGATATTAAAGGCGTTGCCGTGTGCTGTTGTGAGTTTTATTCTGCCATAGATATGTTTGCTGATCGGTCCAATTACACTCACAATTTGTCTGTATTATTTTTATCCCACACGCAAGAGTGACACCTGCTCTTTTAACAATTTACCTTCGGTCAACCTCCCCGTGACGTTGCGACCCAAGATTTAATGGCGAGGTCAATGTGTTGCGCTGGTCGCCGACAGTCGTGTTCGGTCCTCCGGCAGAACCGCCCAAGCAGCCACTCGGGGACACCACCTCGCACCGGAGCCCGCGCACGCTCCAGGTCCCACCCATCTGGCGCGTCACTCCGCCGGCCGGCCGACCGGTCGAGCCCCTGCCCCCGAAGGCGTGCGGCGCCAGCCACTGGGAGGCCGAGACGTCCGCCGAAAACGAGGATCAGCAGCAGGACTCGGACATCATGGACGAAACGGACCGCATGGCGCAGCTGGAGGTCAGCAGAGGCAGTGGCGGCACGTGGCCCGTGGTGCCTTGGTGCCAGGAGGCGGGCTCGGCCGAGTACGTCGTTTAGTGTGATAGGGACCTGCGCCGTGCCTGGCTGGTAGGCGGGAGCTGGTTTGTACAGTTCCGACCATAGCAGGGGGTGGACTCAGGGGCGGGACGCCGAAAATCTATCAGGGCCAGGCGAAAGGTTGGATGTAGAAACTGACGCGCTGCTGATTGCTGCACTTTTGGGTCAGTTGTTTCTCTAACGACCCCTTCGTACTTCCTTGGGATGACCTTCACCCCAGAAAGGGTACCGAGGCGGACACAGCGACCATACCCCCAAAAAAGGGGGTACCGACCGTAGCAGGACAAGGGAATCACTCAAGGGACATGACATACCTGAAGTAACTGTGGAGCGTGCGTGTGTCTGCGCTCTGGTGTGAGCAGCGGCGCGTAGCCGGCGCCCCAGCAGCAAGGTCTTGTCGCCAGCCTGATGGGGGGCATTGCTGGTTAACGCTCCATGCTGCTGTGCTGTGGCGATGTCTGGCTGTCGTGAGTGTTGTCGTGCCCTTGGATACATTAGTCGACAGCAGTGCAGCAATAATCCGCCGTCCGTCACGCCATACCGTCGTCGTGTCCCATTTGTGGACGCGACTGGAGGGGATCCGCGCTGTGGGGTCTGTGGCCGTTTGTTCCCTGTGCGCGGGCCTTCCTTGTGTGAGGCGGTAAGAGAGACCGGAGCAGCGAAACAGTACACATACCCAGGGTAGAAGTAAAGGCTTAATAGTCTGGATTGCGTGTCACTAAGGATCATTTTAGCTATGTCTAAGTCTGTGCGTCAGTTTAAGAGTGGAAATATTCCAACTTGTTGAATTTGAACAGTTGGGACAACACATCAGCCAATGCTGGTTTCTCTTTTGGTATTAGTGTTGGCGTCGCTGCCCACACGGCGCAGTGACCTGGCCGGGGGTCGCGGTCCGCGCTCAACTGATGACCGGCCGCCGCCGCCCCCAGCGCAAGAACTCGGAGCTACAGCGGGAGCTGACCTCCGTGCAGGACATGCTGTCCACCTCGCGGGCCGAGCGGGACGATATCGGCATCAAGTACGGCGCCCTCACCGACCGGGTGAGTCTCGCCGCCCTCCGGCTGTCCCGCCGTGGGTGTCCCCGAGTGGAGCGGTGCGGGTCGGGGCTGGAGGACTCCGCCGCGGTGCAGAGGAGCAGAGTTGCTGTCTTAAGACCGCCCTATGGCGGCCGGATGGCGGCCGGCCGGGACGCGCCGCTGCCGGAACAACGGCCCCCGCTGGGAGACAGCAGGGTGACGTAGACGTTTGGGACAGAAACAGCCCACTTCAGGCTTAGGCTGTACGCATCGCTGCACAATTACTTCATTTGTCTAAAATTCTGTGGCGATGCGCAGCCATCCGCTGGTACCTAGTTGAGAGATAAGCTCGATTAAGCGCGTCGCTCAGCCAGCCGTTGGCCGCGTGCGTGCGGGGCAGCTCCGCGTCTGACCGGCCGCTGCGGGCCCGCTCGGCGCCCGCCCGGCCGGCCGACGAGCCGACCCGGCCCGACCCGGCCCGGCCCCGAGTCAGATGTCGGCTCCGCGTCTGACCGGCCGCTGCGGGCCCGCTCGACGCCCGCCCGGCCGGCCGGCCGACGAGCCAACCCGGCCCGGCCCCGAGTCAGATGCCGGCTCCGAGAGCTGACCTCCGGCGCATCTTTGTTAGCGGCGTTTGATCGAATGGCGCGTGGCGTGCTGGCTGCGCCTTGCTGTGCCTGTTATCGTGCTGCTGTCTGCCCCGCCTGTGCCGGCCGGCGTCGCGCTGACACCACGTATCCGGCTATTATTGTCAGCAGTTAGTCGCCGATCTAGGGATTACCTGGACTGTGATGAGAACCTGAAATGCCCGTTGGCAATAACCGGGTTTTGGATAGTAGATTCCGTCGTACTGTACATAATGTGCTCTATGTGTCTGGTAGAATTGCAACAGTATGCCAGGATGGTCGGGATCAAACTCATTTCAACACAAATGATAGCCAGAAACGTGCCTTTGAACGACACAACTGCTTTTAGCTCGTCTACTTTATGCACCGAGTGCATTTGCAGATATGTCCGTAACATTATCGGTTCCTGAACATAACGCTTACCATACATCCATGAAGAGAACCCTTGAATGGAATGCATGCAGGCTGGATAAAAGAACAACGCACACATTTTGCTATCTACAGATCACATATTAAGATCACTCCGCCCGCCCATTGGACCAACCAAACGCCGCATGAACGTGAGGTCCAAGACAAGGCATGCATCCCAGGACGTTAAATTGCATATTGCCGTATATCGGCAGAGTCTATCTGGCTAATATACTAGTACACAGAACACTAAGCACGTATTCTTGGCGTGGCAAAGGGCGTGGCTCGAGTCATTCTGCAAAAATTCAGTCAATGAGTCCGATTCTATGTCCATAGATATGTATTTTCGAATTTAGGTGATAGCTTTTCGAATTAAGACGAGGTAGCATCCGTGTTCTTTTTTGACGCATCCAAGACGAACATGACGCGCATGCGTTGTGTGCGTTAGATAGCCTTGGTTGTGTGTGTGTGTGTGTGTGCCCGATAACAATCAGTGGCATTCAGCAGACATGCCTTTCTCTTCTCCGTGAGGGATCGGGCACACCAAAATCCTGTCCAAGTATATCGTTTGTAGAATGAGTGGAAGATTATTGCCCAAAAAATAATCTTCAGCCTAAAAATATGCTCAACAGTGCGACCGTTGCCGCGTTCGCGTTGTTTTGTTCAGTCAACCTCGCCACAGCACGGCGGCCTTACGCGCTGTCACGTGACAGCCCATTACAGGTACTGCCGTCTCGGAAAACACCGTTACCCCAGATCAAAGCCAAAGCTTGCGGAATTACGATAGCGTAGACAGGGAATGCCTTGAAAAAAGATGGTGGACGGATCAGGACACGCGGCAACGTGTACATGACAAAAAGTGATTTGGTGTGCCGATTCATGTGGCAGCGATCCTCCGCTGATAGGGTGTGCAGGGCGATCTTGTTGAGCCCGTTGGTGGGAGATTGCGCGAGCTGCCACCGTTTGCGGGGAGCTGTCACATCGCCCCAGATAGGGGACGGCTTCTGATAGCCGCAGGCACGCGCTGCCTGGACATGATGCCATGGGTCGGTGGTACCGCCGTCCAGTTTCCTTCTGGTTGGCAATGTTTTCAGCAGCTGATTACGTCCCTGTTCTGGTCTTCCAATCAGAGCTGCTATTCATAAGGGTGGAAAGCTATCGCTGCGTTAAGGGCCCGGCGCCAGAAACCTCTAGGTCTATTTATGTTAGAGCGTGTGGGGGAGGAGGGGAGGGGGGGAGGCGCCAGCGGCCCATAAGCGCGCCGGTGGAGGAGGTATGCCGGCCCCGTATATCGACCGCCGCGTGTGCGCTCTGCCGGCGCATGATATCGGAGTGTTTGGTCGATACGGATGCCGACGGCCGGCCGGCGGTACCGATGGCTCCAATCACTCGCACGCACATGCCCCCACAGACGCCCACCGGCGTCCTCCGGGGTCACGTGGTGCTCACGGGCACATGCCCCCACAGACGCCCACCGGCGTCCTCCGAGGTCACGTGGTGATCACGGGCACATGCCCCCACAGACGCCCACCGGCGTCCTCCGAGGTCACGTGGTGCTCACGGGCACATGCCCCCACAGACGCCCATCGGCGTCCTCCGAGGTCACGTGGTGCTCACGGGCCATGGGCCACAGACGCCTACCGGCGTCCTCCGGGGTCACGTGGTGCTCACGGGCCATGGGCCACAGACGCCTACCGGCGTCCTCCGGGGTCACGTGGTGCTCGCGGGCCATGGGACATGGCATCTCTTCAAACGAGTGCCAGAAATATTTCATCGTGGGGAAGTGAAAATACGTAACATGTTTTGTGCTGACGCTGGGTGGTCACACCTTGGCATCTTAAAGTATGAGTGAATCATTTGCACCTCACTTTTGGTGCACACACGGTATTCTTTACAGTAAATTTAAAATTTAAAGCACGTTTTCGCTAAAAATAAAATACATACTGTATCTGTGAATCGTTTTCAAACACCGTATTCGGTTCTGCGGACCACGCGCGAATGCTTCGTGCTGTGGCCCTGACGTCTGACGTGTTGGTGCCGCAGCTGGATCGCATGATGAAGCCGGCGGAGGAGGCGCTGGCGTACGAACCGAGCACCTCTCGAGCCGCCTCAGCGGGCCGCACTGACGCCGTCCGATCCACCGCCATAGACACGGTACGGCCGGCCACCCGAGCCACTGACATAGACACGGTACAGGAGCCTTTCCACGTGCGCCGGCACAGTCGGTCGGGGGGTTAGATAATTCTCCTGACCCATGTGTCCTTGTGTGTGCTTTTTCAGCAGATGATCCTGTCTGTATGTGCCATCAAATTTGGAGCGTCTGGTTCCCGCCGCCCGGCGGTGTTCAGAACGCTTAAGCCTTACCTTGTGCCTTGTCACAGTTGGGGCGTCTGGTTCCCACCGTCCGGTGGTGTTCAGGATGCTTCAGCCTTACCTTGTGCCTTGTCACAGTTGGAGCGTCTGGTTCCCACCGCCCAGTGATGTTCAGAACGCTTCAGCCTTACCTTGTGCCTTGTCACAGTTGGGCCGTCTGGTTCCCACCGCCCGGTGGTGTTCAGGACGCTTAAGACTTACTTTGTGCCTTGTAACAGTTGGGGCGTCTGGTTCCCACCGCCCGGTGGTGTTCAGGACGCTTAAGACTTACTTTGTGCCTTGTAACAGTTGGGGGGTCTGGTTCCCACCGCCCGGTGGTGTTCAGGGCGCTTAAGTCTTACCTTGTGCCTTGTCACAGTTGGGGGGTCTGGTTCCCACCGCCCGGTGGTGTTCAGGGCGCTTAAGTCTTACCTTGTGCCTTGTCACAGTTGGGGGGTCTGGTTCCCACCGCCCGGTGGTGTTCAGAACGCTTAAGCGTTACCTTGTGCCTTGTCACAGTTGGGGCGTGGACGCCGCTTGGAGGAGGAGAACCAGGCGTTCCGGCGCCGGCTCGGGACCTACCAGGAGTCGCAGCGGCAGCAGGCGCTGGTCGTCAACAAACTGCAGGATAAGGTCAGCAGCCACGTCGTCCGCTGCAGGGCTTCTGCTGGTCCTGTAGGCGAGGCGGCGCTGATTCCCCGCAGGACAGAGAAATGATGACTGACTTTTGCAACTCGGAAGATCAGGTGTATGTGAGCTACCGAGCTTTATACCACACACACACACACACACACACACACACACACACACACACACACACACGCACGCACGCACGCACGCACGCACGCACGCACGCACGCACGCACGCACGCACGCACGCACGCACGCACGCACGCACGCACGATTTGTGGGTGTGGGTCGCCGTCTTTCTCCTGGACCGCACTGAGACGCGGGATGCGCCGCCGTTGCCGGCAGAAGCTGGCAGACATTCGTTGTGTCGTGCTCCCCCCCCCCCCCCCTGGATCCGCTGTCACTGCTGCTGCCGCTGCTGGGAAGCCGGTTGGGCCAGCGAGCCGTGCTCCTTTCCCCAGGGTCTGCCGCTCAGTAGGCGTAGAACGAGCACGATGAGTTGATATGTTTCGCGCGCCATAGCAGGCCCTGCGCCACGTAGAAGCAAAGAATGAGTGTTTTGGTGAATTCTTTAAGTTTTGTTTGTTGCATGGATTTGGGACTAGTTGCTATGGGTCCGACTGGGTACTTTTCATTCCTCCGACTCTAAGCAACAATAAGTGTTTACTTTTCAAACTTGTGTTATACCTTTCTTTCGTTTGCACAAACAGTGGTGTGTGACTAGCTCTCCTGCACAGGTACCAAGTCTCACGACGAGCCCCTCCCCCCCCCCCAAACCAATTTGAGATGAATTACTCTGCGTACTGCGGCCTGACATTTGCAGCAATTGGCCATTTTACTCTTCCTCCCAGCCGGATATGCTGTCTTACAGCCGGTGTTGGTAGTGCAGCATTGACGTGTTCGTGTATCAGCAGTTCCAGAGGGCACTGAGTGCGTTGCCATTTTAATGCAGTAGTTATCCGTCCAATAAAGCCGTTTGCGATTGACATGGACACATGGAAACATGGAAACATGTTACATGTAAACGGCTGCTGCAGCATATAAGCCCACGTAAACATTGTAGCTGTGGTTATGTCCACCTAACCACCGACACAGGTGACACTGATACTGATTCACTGACACTGTAAATCAGTATCAGTAAACACCCGATAGAAGTATCAGTAAAACCTGATACAGCAATGCTGTCTAAATTGCCACAGCTACGTAACCACGGACACAGGTGACACTGATATTGATTCACTGACACTGTAAATCAGTATCAGTAAACACCTGATAAAAGTATCAGTAAAACCTGATACAGCAATGCTGTCTAAATTGCTACAGTTGCAATCCTGTTGCAAGGCTGTACTTTTGTAGGATCACTTAGTCCTGCCGAGGAAAACGTGCTGATGCTGGTGCTACGATTGGTGTTACCGTTCCCACTGTTGTGGAGGACAGTTGCAACAGCTACAGCTGGGGCGCCGTTATAACCGTCGCCGCCGCCTTGTAAACACGGTCGCGCCATTCGCCGCAGGTGCGCCAGTACAAGCAGCGCTGTAGCGAGCTGGAGGAGCGTATGACGGACTCGGGCCGTCGGCTGGCCGCCTCCGACCAGCAGCTGCAGCAGCGCCAGCAGGAGCGGCTGCAGACGAGCGAGCGGCAGCATGACCTTGATCTCGAGACGGCTCTGGTCCGCCTGGAGGAGGCTGAGAACAGGTCAGTGGGCGCCGAACGCGTCAGCTCAGGGGTCAGGGCCCGTCGGATCAGGCCGGGCAGGGCTGGCTGCGACGTTTGGATCCGCGTGAGATGTTTGTGCGATCAGTCGAGAGCCAGATATTGATATGATCCTACCCTGTTGAAGTACCCATATCGGTGCCGACTGATTTGTAGTGTCTGGTGGACCTGGGTGTGTGACAGTGTCGGAACTCTTTTCTCATTGGCGTGACGCTGTCGGATCTCCGTCCCCAGATCCGTCATGTCGTTGGACTGTGCCCAGGGACGTGCACCGTTGGTGACCTCTGCTATCAGGTTCGTAACGCTGCGTCACGTCTGTCCGTAGATGCGTAACGCTCTCGGACGTGAACGGTCTGCTGCGCGAACAGCTGGACGCGGCGCAGGAGGCCAACGAGGCGCTGACGGGAGAGATCCAGAAGCTGACGGCCGACTGGCAGCGGCTGCGCGACGAGCTCGAGCACAAGGAGCTCGACTGGAAGGAGGAGGAGCAGGTGGGCCGCTGCGGTCTCTTGCCACACGGCCGCGGTCTCTCGCCCTACGGCCGCGGTCTCTCGCCACACGGCCCCGGTCTCTTGCCACACGGCCGCGGTCTCTCGCCACACGGCCGCGGTCTCTCGCCACACGGCCGCGGTCTTTCGCCACACGGCCGCCGTCTCTTGCCACACGGCCGCCGTCTCTTGCCACACGGCCGCGGTCTCTCGCCACACGACCGCGGTCTCTTGCCACACGGCCACCGTCTCTCGCCACACGGCCGCGTTCTCTCGCCACACGGCCGCGGTCTTTTGCCACACGGCCGCGGTCTCTCGCCACACGGCCGTAGTCTCTCGGCACACGGCGCTGTTCGGGAGGAGGGGGGGGGGGGGGGGGGCGTGTAGCCGGCGCTGCGGACATCTCACTGTGATGGTCTCGTGCGTTGTTATGCATGTGTTTTTAAAGGGACCTTTGCGCGTTACATAGAACCTGCCCGCGTGTCATGTGGCCTCTTTTCGCTGCATCTGATAAACACGGGAGACGATTTCAACCGTTTCACATTGTGCCGCCCATTCCGTGGCCAGAAGACTAAGGTGAGAGGGGTTATGCTGTTTGCGATCCCGCCTGCGCCTTTCCGTATGCCCCGTAAACATGTCTGAACATACCCCGCACCATCACGCCTCCCTATCTCCAGCCAGGAGTACAGGCCGGGCCTGTGGCGCCGCCCATATCACTGGCGGTCGGCATCCAGTAGAAGGCAGGCGCTGGAGGCATGCGGCCATGTTTGACCCAGCGACGAGAAAACCAAACCGCATGGGCTGTAAATAAACCTAGCCCTGCAGTTTGTATGCACCTGTAATCATGACCACCGTAAATGTCGTGTAACTCTCATTGCGACAGAGACCTGTTCCGAGCGGCTCCTTCGATTGCGGCCTTGTTTGGAGTAGGCCGAGGATTATTTTGAGAACGGGCCAGAACCTGCTAGAAAACCAGAAGTTTTGACCCTTGGAACGCAACCAATGCTGTAAGCCTGCATTGCTAGCGTGGCTCGCAGGTTCTTGCAGTGGTTCGAAAATGGAACAAGTCAGTTGTGTACAGCTTGTCACCACGCCCTGTTGGAGCCACTGAAGCCTGCAGTAACATTTGTTTAAGGCCAGGACACTGGATTAATTTCTGATACATATATTCGATGCACCATTGATCAGTCGAGCAGCTGACACGATGAAGTTCAGTCTCCACCTCTTCTTTCGTCGACGCGATATCGTTTGCGTGCGCTGAGATGTGCCGCTACATCACCACCATCACACGCGAAGACAGGGCTATTTCCCATAATAACGGTTTCAATTCCCGCTTGATCTCGACCTGAGCGGTTCTGATGGAGCAGAGCCGGGCATCGTTCCATTTGACCGGGGTGCGTTCGCCGTCGGTGTGTTTATCGCGGCGCTCCTCCGAGACCGGCGGCCGCCAGCCGCCTCCGGGGCGGCGGCGCCCCGCTCCCGTCACGACACCCGCCCTGCTGTGCAGACCTTCAACGAGTACTACAACGCCGAGCACGCGCGCATGCTGAAGCTCTGGAAGGAGATCGTCGGCTTCCGGCGCGACTTCAGCGAGCTGAAGCTGGGCACGGAGCGCGACTTGAGCCGGGTGCGCTCCGAGATGGCGCGGCTGGCCCGTCAGACAGCCGACGCCTGCAGCACCGTGCACACCGGAGCGGCGGCGCCCAGCCCCGGCGGCGTCACGCCGCAGCCGGCCGGCCAGGGCCCGGTCACCAGGAAACAGGTCTCACAGGTCAGCGGAGGAGCGGGCGGGGGTTGGGGAGGGGCCGGGCGGGTGGTATTTTGCTGCCTGGAGCCATTATGCGGTGGCGAGCATATGTTTGTGCTTAGCTCCGGGAAAGAAGAACCCGACTCTGAACGAAAGACTAGCCAAATGACGACATCGGATCGGCGCAGGCGTGTTCAGCCGGTCATCCAGCGAGATGATGCGCGTGCTTGACTTCATTAGCCAATAAGACGTCCTCGCGACTCAGAACGGCGCCTGCCATTATTGTCACCTGTGCCAGCATGGTATACCAGTGTTGGCCATGCGTTTCGGCGTGGCCACCGCTGGTAGCGCGGTGTAGCGCTGTCCGCACAGTGATGAGTATGTGAGCTGATCTCGCCTTATGTTTGTCGCTCACCCGACCAGATATCGGCCGCCTTCTCCAATGCCAGCATGTGGGAAAAGCTGCAGGATGTTCAAAAGCAGGAGACTACCTTCCGCGTCAAGAAGCGCGAACTGGAGACCAAAATTAAGGACCTCAGCAACCAGGTGGGCCGACAGCGCGCAGTATTTGCATTGTTCTAAACCAGTACCCATCGTGCATAGATGCGGCACTGTACTGAGCCCACGAGTTTCTTCCTTTGTAGTACACTGTTCAAATGCAGTACGGGCACTCTTGGTCATTTGTCCTGACTGGGTGCTGCCGAGTTGTGTGGCGTGCGGTGGCGCTGTTCAGCTCGGCTGGGTGACCTGTCGTTCTCGCCAGGTGGACATCGCCCGCAGCGAGATCGTCGAGAAGGACAAGATTGTGACGTCCCTCAACAAGATGGTGCACACTCTGGCAAGTGATCAGATTGGCGCAGTTTTCGGACTGTCGGCCGTAGCGACTCGTGCATCTACATAAGGTGTCACTAGCGGTGCAGATAACCGTAGTTTCAGGTCGTGTGCACCATGGAGCTAAAAAAACCATCCTGTCACGGACACTGCTTTTGATATCGCGAAATGGTATGCTTAAGCGTCGATGTTGCTCCTGATCAAGCTGTTTTGTGGAAAGTTCGCACTAAACCTGGGACTTTGAGAGCAGCACCGCTGATGCTGCCCAGTGTCGAGCCTGCCGTCATCAGCGTGTGTCGTCGATGCTCTGGTGCCAGGCGGGCACCACCGGTAACAGCGGTTCGCTTCCGGTCCGCCAGGAGTCCAACACTGCCGAGTTGGGTCAGAAGCTCGAGTCTCACCGACACGTGGCCGAGGAGAACGACGTGCTGACGCAGGCTATCCGCGAGGTAGCCCAGCTGGTGGTGGATGACGCCGAGCGGACTGGGGAGCCCGAGGACAAGGTCACCGTGCTGGTCAAGTCCACCTCGCTGGCCAGGTCAGCCGCCTGGCAGCCGCGTTACGCTGGGGTCTGTCACACGCGCTGCAGTTGGCGGCCTTGGATCTCTGTCTGTCCCGTCCGCACTCCTCCTCTTCTCCATCGATTCTTTCCCTTCCGCTCTAGGCCGTCTCCCTCTCTCTTTCATCTCTCTCTCGACATTCCTTTCGGAGTCACCTTCTCGCCTAGAGGCCTCGCGCGTCCCTCCCGCCTCTCAGGAGACTCTGGAGAAGAGAGAGCTCTCTCTCAGAGCGGAGCTCGAGCGCCGAGAGAGCGCTCTCTTTGCGATCTCCTCGACGATCTCTCTCTCTCCTCGCTTCTATCTCTCTCTCTCTCTCTCTGCTTCGCTCTCTCCTCTCTCTCGCTATCTCTCTCTCTCTCTCTCTCTCTCTCTCTCTCCTCTCTTCTCTCCCGTCTCTCTCTCTCTCTCTCTCTCTTCTTCCTCTCTCCCTCTCTCTCTCTCTCTCTTCTCTCTCTCTCTCTCTCTCCTCTCTTCTCTCTTCTCTCTCTTCTTCTCTCTCTCTCTCTCCTCTCTCTCTCTCTCTCTCTCCCTCTCTCTCTCTCCTCTCTCTCTCTATCTCTCTCTCTCTCTCTCTCTCTCTCTCTCCTCTCTCTCTCTCTCTCTCTCTCTCTCTCTCTCTCTCTCTCTCCGACTCTCCTTTTTTTATCTCGCGTCATTTCCTTTGCGCACGTCCCTATGCACCGCCCCCCTGCGTCCTATTCTCGACAGAACAGAGACCCGGCGGCTGCTTGGCGGACGTATGCCTTCACAGTGTTTCCGGACGGGCCAGGCGCGCACGGACCTCTTGAGGCCGTGTGCGCCACGCCGCGCCGCCGTTAGCGAGACGTGAGGCCCACGGCAACGTTGCGCGGTGTCCGGTGTGAAGAGCTGCCATCGATCAGGCACTGCGGTGGGCTCCGTGAGCTGGAGCGCGGCCCACAGGTCCACGTGTTTTCGAGCCTCTGATAGTGTTCTTTGTTTGATCATCTGGCCTGAGCTGGCCTGAGCGGGATTCTACGGAGGGACTAGACGCATGTGTGCTGACGGAGCGCGATCTCCTTCATCGCCGGGGGTTGCCGCCCAGCCGGTGTCGGCGAGGCTGGCCTGTGGACTGTCCGCTCAGGACAGTGTGCCAACCGAAGGCGTCGCTTGTGGGCCGCCCTGGTGACGAGGGCCCGGGCGCCTCGGACCGTCACCGGCTCTGCTCCTGTGCCTGTAGCGCCGACCTGGAGCCGCTGGAGCCGCCACCCGCTCCTGTCCCCGCTCCTGCTCCTGCCCTTGCTCCCGCCGCACCGCCCGCTCCGGAGCTGGTCAGCCGGGCTACCTCGCTGCTCAGGTGGGAGCATTCTCTTGGCAGTGTCCTCCGCCGTGGTCCGGGCTCTGACCTGGCCGAGGTGGGCGGCGATCTGGAGATGACGATCGTCAAGTGGTGTCTCATGTCGGCCATTAGGTAGGCGGAGCAGTGGGGCACCAGCTATCGCCTGGTGGTTCGGTTGCATAAGGTGGAAGGTTCGCATGTGCGAATGACTTGCGTGCCAACTGCAGTGGGCACACAGAGCCATAAAGCTTGCCAGCGTACTGGCTATAACTGCGCGGTTCGATAATCATGCGCAACCACCTGCCACTCTCCTCACACTAGTAGCCGCCTATCTATCCGGTTGTCCTCCGAAGGCTGCATGTCAGTGGCATGTGTAGCTGACACCCACAAAGGACCTCATCTTCTGCCGCGATCCTTGCAGTGCCGATCTGGACCCGTTGGACGGCGTGCCGGCCTCTCCGGCGTCTCCTCCGCCGGCGATGGTCTCGGCCGCTACCTCGCTGGCGGAGGCCGAACTCCTGTCGCGGGAGCCCCCTGACCTCGGCGCGGTCACTCCAGACCACACTGTGCCCCCGGGGGTGTCGGCGTCCACCTCTGTGGACGAGACACAGCTGCTGCCCCTGCCGCGCTCCGTCTCGGACACTGTAGCTGCGGCGACGACCGGAGCCGCCCGCGCCGAGAGGCACCCCACTCCTCCGTGGGAGATGAGCACGCCCCCCTCGGGTCCCGGCACTCCGGCGTGGGAGGCCGCCACTCCGACCTCGGGCACCGCCACGCCGACCGACCGGAGCACCATACCGTGGGACTCCTCCGATCCGCCCGCGGAGGCGGCGCACGCTGCGACCCCGCCCTGGGAGGTGACCACGCCGAGCGGCTCGGGCGCCGCCTCCCCGCTGTGGAAGCTGGACGCGCCACTGCCGGATGCGTGCTCGTTGTTCCCGCGGCTGAGCTCCGCGGCATCCGGCCGCGCGCGGGCGGCCGCGCCGGGCCGGGCCGTTTCGCAGGCGACCTCGCTGCACAGCGGCGACCTGGCGGCGCCCGACGCTCCGCCCGACGCCCCGCCCCACGCCGGCTTGTCCGTGTCCACCTCGCTGCTCAGGTGAGGCGGCTCACGCCCGGTCGGCGGCGGCCGCGGGCGGCGGCGCTGGCGCGTTGCAGGACATTGGGGAACTGAAAGCCAAATGCAACGGAACGTGCCATGTTATAGTCTGCTGCGTCGCTTGGCGGACATCGGATGCATCACTTTGGTTCTTTATCCGGCTTTGTTCAATGGTCGAAGCATTGGCGAGCATTCCTTCTACTTTTTGAAACCCTGTGCCGTCCGTCGTATGTCATCCTCTTCCTCTCCTAAGGCCGTCTTCGGTTGCAGCTCCCAGCTGGCTCCCCTGAAACACTACGCGGACCAGTGCTGCTCCCCTCCTCCGGAGACAGACGTGGCTGTCGCGGGGCTCAAGGCCAAAAAGGGCTGCTGCTCGCTGTCGTAACCGCACGAGTCGTCGCATGGATGGTGTAGGAACGTGGCGAGCCGGTCCATTTTGGCATCGCATTCATGACATCCGATTTGAATCATGGTGAAGACTGAAGATCATCGCACAAACTGTGGTGGAGAAAGTTCTGCGGCTGGATGTTGACATCACTGTCGGCTGAAGAGGAGCGAGCGTTTGTGCTTGTGCGCTTGTTTGACTGGGGTTCATGCCAGACAAGGGGGAACAACCACCGTGTTCGGGGTCCGACGGCAGGGGAGAAACGGTGGTTAACGTTGGTGCATCGGCTGGATGTGGCAGGGGTCCTTCCGTTTGCCAACTCGGATATGAAGCTCACTGGCAGTGTCGTGCGTGACGCCGGCGGCAATACGTCCTATATTTAACAAATTGTGAGAATTCTTAGTGGCTATTTTTGTGTGGTTGCCTTGAGAGAGCGTTTCTGTTCGTTAAATCGTTAACATGTGAGAGGGGCACACTGTACAGCGCATATCTAAGCAAGCGACAGAGGAGGGAACAAATTGATCAGGTATTGACTTCGTGCCGTCCGGACGTGCTGTGTCTGCCAAAATACCACACGTCCCAGGAGAAAAGAGCTTCAAGGACCTCCACACGTGCCTGGATTGCTGAATTATGCAATTGTTTTCTGCATCATTGAAATAAGAAAATATCCGTGTGTGTTTAAACGAAAATTCATGACGTAGAATGTGTTGTGTTTGCCTTCTAAGATGTGTTAATATTGCCATACGATGCCCTGCAAAATTGCGGTTTCGGGTCCTTGCAATTGCAATATATATGGCCGCCCAAGACGTGCACTGTGCAACGCTTTAGTAAGCATGTGCCGCTGCTAATCCAGGCAAGATCACTGGCTTAGCACCGCGAGACGCGCGCATTTCCGACGAGTGAGAGGTCAAACGCGGCGGCGGGAGGTCATCAGGCCTTCCAATGGCTCATTCGCCACACGTCGCTCTACCACAGATACCGCTGAACCAGCCACGCATTGCCCCCCCCCCCCCCCACCCCCCACCCCCACCCCCACCCCCACCCCCACCCCCATCCCCCCTCCGTACCTGCTGCACATCCATCTGAGCACTGGCGCACACAGCGCTCCTCTACAGAAACGTCTTAACTATGCGGTGAGCCGAGTGCTTGCGGTCCTTCCAGAGGCGTAAGAGGCTCCAGAGAGGCAGAGGCCTCCCCCGTAAGGCTACCTTGCAGCTCGGTGGGCGGTTGGCGTGCGCATGCCATTCGTGACACTTTATTTACGCAAGTCCTTCATTTATCATTATCTGTAGCCGTACTTGCTCAAGTATTGGACCAAACTGGCCAAGACCGTCATCGAATAAAACATTTGCTCTTCCTGCCCCCCCCCCCCCCCCAAAAAAAAATGTCATCATTGATCCGAATGTATATCAAGTGATTTAGCTCAGCAGCTTTCGGTGTAAGTTTGCTCATCCTCCGCACCAAGCCCCTGGCGACAGATGAGGGTGCGCCAAACCCTGACACACTACCCATAGCTCCTGCTTGCTCGGTTTTGCCGCTGACGTGGCGACTAACCGTGCCGTTCCCATGTTACCGTACCCGTGTCACGCCGTACCCGTGTCACGCTGTACCCGTGTCACGCTGTACCCGTGTTACGCCGTTCCCGTGTTACGCCGTACCCGTGTCACACCTCACAGGTGTCATCCCTTACCCGTGTCACGCCACACCCGTGTAACGCTTTATCCGTGTCACGCCTTACCCATGTCACACTGTACCCGTGTCACGCTGTACCCGCGTCATGCTGTACCCATGTCACGCTGTACCCGCGTTATGCTGTACCTGTGTCACGCTGTAACCGTGTCACGCCGTACCCATGTCATGTTGTACCCACCTCACGCTGTACCCGTATCGCGTTGTTCCCGTGTCACGCTGTACCCGTGTCACGTCGTACCTGTGTCATGCCGTTACCGTGTAATACCGTGATCGTGTCAAGCAGCTCCCGTGCCATTCTGTACCTGTGTCATGTTGTACTCGTATCACGTTGTACCCGCGCCACACCGTGTCACACCGTACCCGTGTCACGCCAAATCCGTGTCGCAGGGCGGCGCCGCGCCCGCCGCGCGCCGCCTCGCCGCCGCCGGCCGCGGCCCTCACGGACGGCACTCTGTCGGCCGTGCAAGCGGCGCTCAACAAACGCCAGCTCCAGGTCCATGACCTGCAGGTGAGAGCCCACGCCGAACCTGCAGGTGTCGTGGGACTCACTTAAGGGACATTTGGACGTCCGGCGGCTCAAATGTCGCCGCGGCCTGGCATTGGGGAGCTATGACTGATGCCGTCCGAAATCTCGGGTGTGAGTTAGTCGTGGTGACGACGCGGGTCGAGGCGGTGGTCGACACTGGGCCGGCGCCGCTGTGATCGCGTGCTCCGCCGCGCCGCCAGGTGAAGCAGGCGGGCGCGTCGGAGCAGCTGGCGCAGCTGCGCCGCAGGGCGGAGGAGGCAGAGGCGCGCCAGCAGCGTCTGGAGCGGCAGCTGCAGGAGGCGCGCGACCAGCAGCTGGCGACGGAACGCGAACGGGAGGAGGCGCGCCGCGAGGGCGAGCGGCGCCGCCTCCAGATGGAGACACTCACCGCCGAGCGTGAACAGCTGGAGAAGGCGCGCGCAGCTCTCAACGATCAGGTCAGGCCGCGGCCGGGGCTTCTCTGCGAGTAGAGCTGCGCTGGTGATGACCTTTGGTCCGTTGGTGGCTGCCATTTCTGCCTGGCCGTGCCGTGTGGTGACAGCGCTCCGATTCGTCTGCCACAGATCGAGAGCCTGAACAAGGAGGCGGACAGGATGCAGGCCAGCATCCAGGAGATGCAGAAGCAGAAGGACGGACTGCAGGACGATAAGCACTACCTCAGCGCCGAGATGGACAGGCTCAAAACCGCGCTCGACGAATGGTGAGACTGACCACAGCCGGCGTAGCGGCTCGTTGACGAACGATGGAATCTCAGAAGCTGGCGCCATGCCATTGCGGCATTTATTTCCGACATTTCGTGTCTTGGATGAAGCCCCCAGTAAGAGATTCGGATCTTTTTTGGAGCTGCTGTATATGAACAGTTTTCATGTCTGGTTTGAGAACTGTTCCTCTATGGTTTGTTACCAGAGAGGAAGTGTACATGCCGTACATACTGGGAGGCTCCTTGGGAGCAAACGTTCGGCTGCGTTCCGTTTTGTTTTTGTTTTGGGATATCATTCCGCCTGTTTCGCAACGGCTAACCCGCCTCTTGACCCCAGCAAAACGGTGCTAGACGACAAGGACTCTAAGGCCGGCACCCTGAAGGAGACGGTCGTTTCCCTGAAGGAGGCCATCAACAAGGCCAAGCTGGACAACGACGTGCTGTTCAGAGAGAAGGCTGACATCGAGGACCAGTTGCGGAAGTGCGAATTCAAGAAAGGTGCGGCCCGCTATTAGCGGCCGGAAGGAGACACAGTGCTGGGGAATGCCGAGTGGCCGTGCTTGGTGACCTGCCGCTAGCGGCTGGCTGACGGAGCAGTGATGCCGAATGCAAGATGTGTGAACATTCGTCGGGTATTTGAGACGCGAGAACGTTGGACAGGCATCAGTCGCCCCATCCTTAACGTACCTGGATGCATTGCAAGAGGTGCGCAATGCTCAACGCTTGCCTGCTTTGTAATGCATAGCTAGCCTTCGGTGTTATCATGTGATCGTTTTGTGACTTGCGCACAGTATGTCGGCAATGGCGTTTGTCGTATGACCGGCAGGTGACCTTGAGACCCAGGCAACTCGTCTGCGCGCGGACGAGGCCGGCCTGCGCGACGCCCTGGTGAAGATCCAGAACCTGAACGAGGGTCTGGGCGCCGACAAGCTGGATCTCAACAAGATGGTGCAGCAGGTGTGTGTCACAGAAAGAAGCCGGTCGGAACCGGTCGGTTCCGAGTCCTCCCTGTCTTTTCTGCCCATCAGTAGCTCTGAAACGGACCCACTTACCACCGAAGCTCTTCGCCTTACTTACAATAAGCCCTACATGCGGTGTCAAGTGGCCATAATGTTCATCATGACAACCGTCGTATTTTGTGCAAGAATTGAGTTTATTTTGTCCGGGTGGTGTGTTGAACCTCATTGACATGATCACCTGGTGTCCGATGCTGGCGGCTAGAGTTCCACTTGCGGTCCACAGATGTCGGCAGAGCGGGCGGTGCTGCAGTCGGAGCGGGCCGAGCTGGAGGGTGAAGTGAGCGCCCTGCGCGAGGAGCTGCTGCGCCTGGAGCAGGACAAGATCACCACCGCTGCCGAGCGGCTGGCCCTGCAGGAGACTCTCACCTCCACTGAGCAGGAGCGCAGCAAGGTCAGGCTTCCGTTCTCACAACCTCCTGTCCTCCCAACCTCCTGTCCTCTCAGCCCCCGTCCTCTCAGCCCGTCCGCCCAGCCTCTCCCTCCCTTGACAAAGTACCAGAGTTCGCCGCACCGGGCGGAGCAGCAGTGCTGCCGCGCGGCCCCGCGTCTCGGTCGTGATACGGCGCCCGGCGAGGAGCAAAGCCCAAGATGTTCTTGAGAGGATCACCTCATATTCACATGATCGACGCAGTAAATGCGAATATCTCCAGTAACGCGACATTTGTCCTTTGCTTGGGTCATCCTTGCTGGTGATATAAAACCATCTGCAAATATTATATTCGTTTCGGCCTCGCAGTCGATGTCGCGTGGTATTCACTTCGGTTTTAGATATTCATTTCCTCTGGTTTCAAATATAAATTTAACAAGCACCCCACTCAAAATCAAGTGGTGAAATAGTGCTGTTAAATTATGCATGTTTGTTCCACTTAAAAGCAACCCATTTTAAAAGCCAAATATGTTCATATCGAGGTATTAACGCATAGGTTTAGAATGTTCTAGGCCCTTCTCTGTTTTAAAGCTTATATATAAGGTTATACTCACAAACACGGAGAAGTCAGCTTATCATCTGTAGCACTGCGTGTCCTCGCCCCCGCGGGTCCGGGAAGGTGCCAGCTTTGCCAGCCGCGAGTCGGGCCCGCCTGACCGTGCTCCGCCGTCGGGTTTGCAGTTGGACGACCGTCTGTCGGAGCTGCTGACAGACCAGTCGGAGCTGGAGAGCCGGCTGTCGGCGCTGGAGCGGCAGCGCGCCGGCCTGCAGGAGGAGCTGGCGCGCGCGCGGCTCGACCACGAGCGGGCTGTCTCCGAGGCCAGCCGCGCCGCCCGCCAGAGGGAGACGCTGGCTCGCACCACCGGCGAGCTCGAGGTGCAGCCGGGCGGGGTGTCGTCCCCGTGGGAGGTGCTGGCTTGTTTCAGTAGAGGGCTGGAGATGGGTCGGCGCAGAGCGAGGCCGGGCTGCCAGGCATCGGGGGTGATGCTAGCAAGGACAGGGGGTGGAAAAGAGAGGCTGGTGTGCGACAGTGGCGCACGCGAACTGTCCATGTCCGAAGGGTGGGTGCGCGAGAGCCTGCTGTTCAGCGATAGATTATGTATCCCAGGAGATGGTTGGTGCCATTAAGGCAGGAGGTTCCATGAGGCATAGTCGACGATAGTCGGTCGGAAGTGTGTTCTCGTAGCTTGCGAAAATGTAAAGTAAATGAGGCCATACATTCTCCGGCATTCACCGCTCGAGAGAAGACGACGTGGCACAGACGAACACGCCGTGTCTATCGGGTTTGACTGGGACAGGGGCCGGTTGTGAATGGGGGATGACTAAGGCAGGCCGCTTCATGTTAGTGCAGAGGAGGCTGGTGCGTGGTGTATGGTGGATGTGTGTGCTCTGCTCGCGCTACCCCGGGTCGGCCGCGGCTGCCGACATCTCATCCGGGCGTGTGTGCTGCGCCTCGGGGGCCGACAATGTGTCTGTCCGCCGCACAGGCCCGCCACGCAGCCCTGCAAAAGGAGCACAGCAGCCTGCGAGAGGTGCTGGCCGCCATGAGGGCTGAGAAGCAGCACTCAGAGGTAGGTGTGCGGGCCTTCACCCGGACGGAGTGTCCTGATGACTGGGCACTCCGGGTGCTGATGAGTGGGCACTCCGGCCCGGCCCGGACCACGTGCAGATGCTCTTCAGCAATCTGGAGTTTCGCCTTCTACTGGGCAGAATGAAGTGGTGTGGCCCTTTGTCAGACGGACGGGGATCTAGTCGGCGAGAACTTGAGTATGGACCGTGTGAATGATTGATACATTCAGCAACTATCAGTTCGGATCACCGGATGCATTAAGAACCCGAAACATCAATGCCAAGATTACGTCGATTCGTGGGGATGGTTCTGGAATCAGATTCCTTGCCAAGCATGGGTTGCTACCAACAGCTGATTCTAATATCCGAGCTTAGGGCACATCCACCGTCATGCGTTGTTTGTCCCGCGATAATGCAGCCAAGTAATACCAAAAAATCCTTGTCAAGCTTTTCAACTCCATAGTACGGACCGAAGCTGACCTGTTCCGACCATGGTCTGGTGCCACCGCGACAGATGCAGCTGTACGAAACGCGCTGCGGTCTGGAGGCAGCCGACGTGGCGCGCCAGCAACTGGAGGAAGACAATAAGCAGCTGACCATCAAGCGGGAGGACCTGCAGCACCGGCTGGACGTCACGCGACGCGACATGGACCAGGAAGTCGGTCAGTAGCTTCGCCCATATCGACCAGTTGAATAATCAGTTGGACTGGAAAATAGAAAGTTAATGTCCCTAATATAATTACTTGGCATGGTCTCAATTGTTTTTCTTACGTCGCAGCAGTATGGTTTTCTCATGTTCTATATCTTCCGTGGCTTTATACCGCATTTTTGTCAAGCAAATAATAATAGGGTCAGAAGCTGCACATACGTTTTATACCTCGTAAATGTTCCATTGCGAAGATGTCCATTGCACAATTACAATTCGAGGCGATTTGCTAATGTCCATCCTCGTATTCAGCGAATGCGATTGATGTGTTTCAAAACAATGATGTTATCTGCATGGTAATGCTTCCGCTGTTCCAGTGTGTCCGTCTGTATGACCGACATATATGCGTATCCGTGGGCAACCGATTATGTTCTTCAAAACTCTTACCCGTTTTTCTCTAACTGTCAGTTAAATTACTTCTAGGCACCCATACACTTCTGGGCACCCATACATAAAAGGTGGATTCATATTCTTGCAGAGTGTGGGACTGAGACAACGTTTGCTTGTTTTTTGACAATGTGGAAGTGTTTGAATACGATTGCACGGGGCAATCTGAGAAATACAATCTGAAACTTTGACTTACATCGTCGGTAACACGTTGGTAACATGTCGGTGACTTGCAACTTACCACGCATTTGAATTTGCCAGCATCTTTCCTCGAGGCGGCTCATCCGTTTTTAGTGCACGTGCCGTCGCCAAAATTCCTAGCGGCACTTCTCTTGCGCTCATGGTGCTTATTCATCGAACGAACCAATTTGCGATCCGCCGTCTGAATCTTTTGTCGATAAATAACTAATGCCATCATGACACGGAGCAGTGTCTACATAGGCTGCACCTTTCATTTTGCTCGCGATCTCCTCCCGTCTACGGTGGGCTGCCTGTTCTGCCTGACAAGGCGTCGTGCCGCCTATGGGCTGCGCTGACGCCTCCGCGGCCTGTCCTGTCGCCGGAGCCTGCCCCTCCTGCCGCCGCCGCCGTCAAGTCGGCCGACCATGGACGGGGTCCGCCTGTCGGACGAGCAGCGGCGGCGGCTGGCCGCACTGGCCGCCGCCGTGCAGGCCTTCGACGGCGCGTCGGCCTGCATTCCGCTACAGGCGGGTCCGCTGCCGACGTCATGCCCCTGCCCCTGCCCCTGCCCCTGCTCCTGCTCCTGTTCCTGTTCCTGTCCCTGCCCCCGGCCGGGCACCCGGCTACGCGGTCGCCAGACTGACCGCTCGCCGGCCGCGGCTCTGGCAGAGAAGCTGCGCGATAGCTGCACCGACTTCAAGCGGCGCGTAGACGAGACGCGCCAGGAGCAGACGCGCGTCGTCGCCGACCTGAAGCAGGCCCACGAGGAGGAGGTCACTCGGCTGCAGCGCGAGCGGGTAGGTGACCAGGCCCGGACACGGGCAGACGCGCGTTTGGCGGCTCTGCGATGATTTGTGCGGCGAAAGCGAATATAGTCTAATGTGTCAGACCTTGTGATCGTCCTCATGAAAGAAGCTGTGATGTAACCGTGATTACACTTAATTTTGTTTGAGCGTCTTGCATTATTGACGCTGCAATATAAATCACCTTAAATGGTTGTTTACCACGTCATGCACAAAATGTGCGCCCTTACACTTTGTGATCGTATGGGCTCAGGGATGGGCCCTCGACATTACCTCAGTGACAGCATGGTCCGGTGGCCGCGTTGTCATCCCCATTTCACTAGTTTAGCTGTCTGGCGAACCAGTGCACCTGTCACACTCGGTAAGCTTGTGGATTGTAGTTGTGCTGCGAGCTTTTCCTGTATTAATCTGCCGCCTTCTATGCAGTCTACCTGGCTTCCCCTACGAGTCGCATGTATCCGGTTGACTCGTCACGCTTGCTAGCGTCGCGAGTCGATTGTGGCCTCTTATGCCTGCCATGCGTTCAGTTGGCCGAACCTGTCGTCCCTCCAACCTCTTGTCCGCCAGCGACTCTCCGCCGGCCACCTGCCGACTCCGTGTCCACCTGCCGACTCCTCCGTCCACCTGCCGACTCCGTGTCCACCTGCTGGCTCCGTGTCCACCTGCTGACTCCTCCGTCCACCTGCCGACTCCGTGTCCACCTGCTGACTCCGTGTCCACCTGCCGACTCCTCCGTCCACCTGCCGACTCCGTGTCCACCTGCTGACCCTGTGCCCCACTGGCGTTCGGCTGGTGACCCTGTGACCCGCCGCCGTCTCCAGGAAGAGGCGGTGCAGCAGCTGGAGTCGCGACTGCAGAAGTCGGTGCAGAGCTTCACGTTGGAGCACGACGACCTGGTGACGCAGAAGGAGCAGCACATCCAGAGCCTGTACCGCGAGCTGGACAAGGCGGCGCGCGACACAGAGGCGCAGCTGCTGGCGGCCGAGACGGCCAAACAGCAGGCGCTCACGCTGGGTGCGTGACGGAACGCGCGAGAGGTCACACGGCCAGGCCCGAGGACGCGCGGTCCGGCGCCGAGCCACCGACCAGTCAGTCGGCGGCCCGTTCCGTCGACAGGCCTTTCTGTTTGGGATGTCAGCGATAACTATGAAGGATATGTGCCTGCTGGAAGTGAGAAGAAGTGTAGCCCATGCAGCCTGCTTTGCAGTGCGTTATTCGGGTCTTTGACCCCAGGCGTACGTCGTTATGACTGTTGAGCCAGGAGCTTGGGAGCGGCTCGTTGTGACAGCGCCACCCGCGGTGTCGCCGGCAGCCCAGCACGAGCAGCAGGCGCTGCGCGAACGTCAGCAGCAGACACAGGAGGAGCTGGAGAAGGCACGCACCGAGCTGGAGCGGCTGCGCTCCGAGTCGGCTTCGCACGGCGAGATCACGCGCACCAACATTGGCGCCCTGCACACGGACGTCTCCAAGCTGAAGCAGCAGCTCGACGGCAAGGCGTGAGGCCACCCCGCCACCACGCCGGCCAGCGCCAATCACCTGCTGAGGCGTGATGATTTCGGTTCGTTAGCAAATCACCTTTAAGGTGGTGAAGGTGAAGCTTTGAAACGAGCTGCGAGGTTTTGCCATTTGACTTGATGACTATCGCAAAAGCTGTGCCTGCCTGACTGGAGGTGTGTTTCGCTGCCTTACGGAGCGGCTCGCATGGGTGTCGCTATCGAATGACCCCTTGTGATGGGCTGCTCACTGGCCACTATACCTTCTTTTGTCGCCAGTGCCTCGCACGATAAGGAGATTGCGTCGTTATCGAGCCAGATTCTGGAGGCGCAGCGGCAGCGCGACCTGTCAGACAGCGCGCACGGCCAGCTGAAGGTCAAGACCAAGGTCACCGAGGAGCACCGCGACCGGCTGGAGAGAGAACTGACTGAAATCACTCGAGCCCTCAAGGACGGTGAGTGGTGGCGGGTAATGTGCAAGTAACGCTTCTTGGAAGCTGCGACATGTGGTCATCATGTAGCTCGCGTCCGAGAAACCGGGATTGGTCTGTTGCGGTCCACTGGCAATAAACCAAGAAAGTCGGGCCGACAGAGGGCTGTGGCATTTCAGGGCTCGTTTAAATCTCTCGGCAACGTTACACGTCCAACTGGCAGTGCTCGACTGGGGTCGTGGGCTCAGAGCGAAGACTGACGCTTCCACATCAGCGCCGAAAACATTCCAAACAGAAAAGCTGACCTCCAAATTCATGAAAATAATTGTCAGTATCGGGTGTTACCCCGGCATTAACAGCTACGCTTCTTCACCTCAGCTTTCCAACGGTTGGTTGCTTGGTTGTTTAGATTAGAATCATTTCTACCAGAAATGGTCATTTCAAGGCTTTGGGATGAAGGAAAATGGTTAACGGTGGGACAGACTTGCATGCGCCTCGGGGGCCAACCGCCGAGCTTTAACCCTGCGCATGTGCGCTGGGTATCCGGTCGGGGTCCCCCTTCCCACGGGGCTCTCGGCCCACTCATGGCTGACGCATGCAGCCTGCCCCGGACAGGCGGGTTGTCGCGAGGATGCAAAACAAAGCAAGACGGAGGATAAGAGGGTTGGGTGGTTTCCCAACGTTTTCGTTTCATTTGGTTCCATTTGTGTGAGGTGTTTCGGCCCGTTCGGGCCATTTCACGCCCGGAAGATGTTACTTCAAAGTGGCGAAATTATGTATGCGAAAAATATGCACTTTGCTGACTTGGTGGTGGTACTATTAAAGCAAGTGGCACGGAAGAAAGCGGTAAAGCAAACTGGAGAGTGGTACAGCAGACAGTGGTTCGCGAGGCTATTGTAAGTCCTGACTGTTGTTCTTCCAGTTCTTTAGGAGTGTGTTGGTTGCCTCCTGCATATACCACGGAGCCATGTTCAATGATTGGAAGAACTAAGGGTTTCTATATACGTAATAACGTTTGGCGGTCGGCACCGTATCTTAACCCGAGAATGCTTCTAAAGAAATTTAGTCGCTTTAGGCATTTGGAGCGAACATGCTCCACGTGCTGTCCCATGTATAATCTTGGGTCACGGACAATGGCAATAAATTTGAAAGACGAAAAGAAAGGAACGTAATGTCCATCTAATCGGAGCCGAAAATCCGGAACACCACACATATTTTGCTCCAAATCATAACTGCAGTTTTGGGAGCGGAGAAACGGGACTCGTACCGCTCTGACCACTCCTGCATCTTGTTCAGGGCGCCTTGGAGCCGTGGCAGCGAATGATCATGTTCAGCGTCTGAGCACCAGATTGGGCTATCGCCCGCACAAAGGGGAGGAGAAATGCCCGGTGGAAATGAGTCAACAGTTTGAAGTTACATGGGTCGGTAGGAGGAAACCAAGTTTCCTGTGCAGCCATAATGACGGGAGCTAATACTGCAGAAAGCTTTCATTTTAGGCCATTTTGAAATTAGACCGCGATAATTTTTCTTCAAGACGAATGACATTTAATGGTGGTTTGACCCATCCACACCAGTTGGTGGGAATCGGCCGAACGAAACTGACCGAAGCCGGCCCATGGCCACCCCCACAGGGGGCGGCACCAGCGGTCTTCGCTCAGGCGTGTTGTAGGTGTTGTGCAGGGTGAGGGGATGGGCCGTTCGTGCGGCGGCCAGACGGATCCGGATGCTGACCGTTCGTAGCCGGAGGGCTGGAACGCCAAACGGCTTGAGCCGCGTGGACCGCGCATAGCCGGAGGGCTGGAACGCCGGCCAGCCTGAGGACATGAGTGCGCGGACGCCTGAGCGTCCGAACGCCCAGCCAAGGCCGACTCGACAGTAGTACCCTTCTGGGTCTGCATGGTCGACTCACTTGAAAGAAAGGTGCGGGCAATGAGAATCTTCAGAGCAGGGAGCCGGGAAATAGATACAGTCTGCGTTCCGCATGTCGCTACTGTGACTTTTGCTGCCGGTGCACATGTTTTGTTTGGCTGCGGGGACACATTTTATTCCACGGCGCGCCGTGCCTGAGGATATGACACACCCGTCGTTGCTTTGGTTTCATAGATCTCTTTTGCTCTCGCTTCCATACAGGGTGTTGCGATGAATTGGCGTGATGGCCCGGGTCGCCACAATTCAGGCATTTCGCCGGTGTCGTGCAGGCAGAGCCATCATGTGGGGCCGCGCCGCACTTTTGACAGCGAGCACTTTGTCTGCATGCTTAACTCCCATGACTGAATCGTTGACAGTCGAGGCAGCGCTTGGGCTTCGAATGAACACTCTGACAGATTAGAGAGATGACCGGCAATGAGAGTTTCAGGCAGATGCTTTGTTTGGAAAGGGAGGACTAACAGACTGGGGTCACGCCTTTGGCCATCTGTGAATGCCGTCTGACGACGGATATGACGGACCTTCTTAACTTCGTATTATTTCGTCCCCGGTCATGAATGGCATTTCCGGAGCAAAATTTGTTTGTACCCTTGGTGGTGTTCCGCGTGTGGTGGAGCGAGCCAGGGACAGTTTTTCCCGCAGAACTCGGTAGTTTTCAGGATGACTTTTGTCTGATAACTTTTTTTGTTTGTTTTGATGATGAGAGAGCCGTTTGCCGGAGTTTCAAGGTCCAGATCAGGTGCACCGCGAATAGCCTGGATTTGTTTGCTCGACCAGAAAACATTGCTTTCCGGAAGGAAACGTTCTCATCTGTTGGTTTCACAACCTCAAATGAGCTGAGAAGATCAAGGTAGGTTTCCGAGTCTTGCTTGGCACCAGAGTGGTCGAAGACGGGCGATGGTCGGCATCTGAAGCGTTGGGCGAAGACGGCTGCTGCCTAGACATCGTGACGGATGTGCGCGAACCAATGGAATAGACTTGGGCGCGCGAGGGTTATCAGGCGAAGTGGCAGCCAAAGCGGGGCTAGCGGCACTTCCGTCGTCTACATCCAAGGCATTATTAAGGTCAGAGGCCGAGTTCGAGCCCGTGTCAGTGTCGTCCTCTTGCGCTTGCTTTGCTTCCCGATACTGCGGGAACGAGAAGAGAACAACACAAATTAAGCGAAAAGGTGTGTTTGGAGCTAATGTGAACGGAAAAGCAACGAGAACGACGATGCGAAAAAGACTCCTTGGCTGAGGGCCGCAAAAGGAGCAAACCACTTGCTGAGGTCCTGCCAGACGGGTGTGTGGCCACCAAATGGGTCGACGTAAGCCTTGTGTTGTGATGTATTTCCCAACGTTCTGGTAGCCGTTCTGACGTAATCTGGTCTCTCACTGAGCACCGAGACTGAGATTCCGTTTGCGTAAACGTGTTTCGTAGTTGATTCTTTTTGCCGACGGCATTAGTCCGATCCGTTGGCCATTAGGGGCGAAGCCGTGGCTGACGTAGCTTCGTCGGATGACGACTGCGCCCGCTGTCTCAGCCGAAGCGAGGGCCGAGAGCGCCAGCCGCGCGCTAGCCGACACCAAGCGGGCGCTGCAGGAAGCTGAACATGAACGGGCGACGCTAGATGACAGCAACGGCGAACTGCGCGAAAAGGTCAAACGACTCGAGGGCGAGAAAGGGGAGGCCAAGCGCGCAATGGAAGAAGCTGGTCACAGGATCACCTGTGAGTCGCCATGACTGGCATTGCCAGTGTGGTCGTGTCGTGAGTGGTGATTTGTAGTTGAGCTCTCTTGTGCTTGAACTAAATGTTTCCTTAAATCGCAAATGCACTTCAGCAAGTCTTACGTTCTGACTAACCTGATGCGAATGCACAATCGAACAACTACTTCAATGTTTTTTAGTCAAGCCCTATGTTTGACTCGGCCGTGGGAGGTCGTGGAAGGAGTGTAGCCTGTTCGCAACATCCTCAAAATGTCGCAATCGCCGTTGTGTGCAAAAAAACCGTGAACATAGAGCTCACTGTCCTGTCATTTGTGCAAATATGCGTGACTTTCCGCTGTGCCATACCACACTTAACTCTGCCAGATGCCGAGTGTTACGCACACTGCCGCCTCCCCAGTGCTGGACGCCGCCAAGGAGTCGGCCACCAAGGAGAGCCAGGAGCTGCGCGCCCAGCTGCGCGAGCTGGAGCGCTCCCGGATGGAGGCGACTCGCGAGGGTCAGGAGCTGCGACGCCAGCTGCAGCAGGTGGAGGTGCAGAACCGCGACCGGCTGGCGCAGCTGACCGAACTGCAGCAGCGCCTCGTGCGCGAGGAGGAGAACAACGACACCAACAAACGCGACATCCTCAACATGAAGCAGCAGGCGAGTGACCGCCGCCTCTGGAGGCGGCGCGGTCTCCCGGTGGCTGGTGATAACACGCCTCGCTGCGATGTAGAACAAGCGATCCTTGCTTTGGAGGCGCTTGGAAAGCCAGACCAACTCTGATTGAGCTCGCCCTGGTGTCGGGTCTTTCCATTTAGAGGCGCCCAGAGTGCGCCACGGTGCTGGGGCTCAGAGAGTGTTCATGACGGCCCTGGCAATGCTCATTACGACTCTGTTTGTACTTGATATAGGCGGGATCCCGTCTTCAGTTCCTGGATTTTCGGCTTCGTGAGGTCAGAGTTCTTTTGCTGAGTTGTCGACCTTTAATGTACCGGGAAATACTGATTAAACGACGCTAGAGCAGCCAGTTGTGATATTGACAGCATTCAATGCAACCAATTAACCCAACTGCCAATAACACCGATGTGCCTGTTATGGAATGTCTTTATATATATATACATATATACATATATATATATATATATATATATATATATATATATATATATATATATATATGTATATATAGGCATGCAGAGCTATATAACGTCATTTTCCAGTATATCCTGGTGTACTGAAGGTCGATGACTCGGCATAAGAACTCTGAAGTAAGCTTGTGCTGCTAGGTTCCAGGATCGGACCGCGTGGGCTCAGGTTTGAGATTGGGGTGGAATTCAAGGTGCGACTTTTTTACTTGATGCTTGATGCTTCGGATGCGGTAGCGGTACTCTGAGACGGCGAGCTGTGCTCAGACGCTGCTCGGGCCTGACTTGGTCGGGGCACGTACGATGGTTTTCACCGCAGATTTCGGAGACGTTAGGTCTTTCAGGCGGAGGAAGACCTGACTGGGCCCGACCGGGTGTATATGCCGGCTCTGGACCAGGGGGCAATCCCAGCACCTGCTCTGACGTGGTGGGTGCGGCGTCAGCCTCAGATTCTGAGTCGATGAGAGACACGACCTGACCTGACCCGACCCGACCTGACTGGACGTGCTGGCAGGCTCTGGAGCTGGAGACAACGCGGGAGAGCCTGCAGAAGGAGCTGGCGGACGCTGAGCGGCGCCTGGCCGACCTGCAGGACAAATTCCGCTGGCGAGAACGCGACTTCAGCTCGGCCCTGGACGAAAGCAAAGCCTGCTGCAAGGCGCTGGAGGAGGACAAGAAGAACCTCGAGATCCGTCTGAGCGCGGCCAGCCAGGACGCCAACGATATGAGGGTATGGGAAGCCAACTGCCCTCCGTGATGTACGCTCCACGTCCCGGGATCGCTTGCTCCAAATCAGTCGCTGACTCCGGCCAGAGAACGGACACCTGCATATGCTGTTTTTCATATCACGATATTTAGAGCACTTTGTCTGGGATTCAGTTTCCAACCGGTTTATAAAAGGAATTGCACACGCAGCTGTCAGCACACTGGTTCTTAGCAACTTGTCCTCCATGCAATGCGTATGCAGTAGTTTGCGTGGAATTGTGTCGCCATATAAGCCCGTCGTGCAGCCGCCGTCTCCTGCCGCTGGCTGAGGCCCCCGCCTGTCGGCCGCTCTTCAGCTGAAGCTGGTGGCGGCCGAGGGTCGCGTAGAGGCATTGGAGGCGCAGGTGGGCCGGCTGGACGCTACCCGCCGCCAGCTGGAGCGCAAGCTGGCCGACATGTACACGTCCCTGCGGCGTGTCACGGGTCTGCGGCTGGACGGCGCCGGGGCGGCTGACGTGCCGTGGCGGCCGCCGGCGGGCAGCCCCAGCCGCCGCCGCGCCAAGGGTCAGTACATGTCCGGGCTCCGGGCGGGCAGCCCCAGCTGCCGCCGCGCCAAGGGTCAGTACATGTCCGGGCTCCGGGCGGGCAGCCCCAGCCGCCGCCGCGCCAAGGGTCAGTACATGTCCGGGCTCCGGACGGGCAGCCCTAGCTGCCGCCGCGCCAAGGGTCAGTACATGTCCGAGCTCCGGGCGGGCAGCCCCAGCCGCCGCCGCGCCAGGGGTCAGTACATATCCGAGCTCCGGGCGGGCAGCTCCAGCTGCCGCCGCGCCAAGGGTCAGTACATGTCCGGGCTCCGGGCGGGCAGCCCCAGCCGCCGCCGCGCCAAGGGTCAGTACATATCCGAGCTCCGGGCGGGCAGCCCCAGCCGCCGCCGCGCCAAGGGTCAGTACATGTCCGAGCTCCGGGCGGGCAGCCCCAGCCGCCGCCGCGCCAGGGGTCAGTACATATCCGAGCTCCGGGCGGGCAGCTCCAGCCGCCGCCGCGCCAAGGGTCAGTACATGTCCGGGCTCCGGACGGGCGGCCCTAGCTGCCGCCGCGCCAAGGGTCAGTACATATCCGGGCTCCGGGCGGGCAGCCCCAGCCGCCGCCGCGCCAGGGGTCAGTACACGTCCGGGCTCCGGGCGGGCAGCCCCAGCCGCCGCCGCGCCAGGGGTCAGTACACGTCCGGGCTCCGGGCGGGCAGCTCCAGCTGCCGCCGTGCCAGGGGTCAGTACATGTCCGAGCTCCGGGCGGGCAGCCCCAGCCGCCGCCGCGCCAAGGGTCAGTACACGTCCGGGCTCCGGGTGGGCAGCTCCAGCTGCCGCCGTGCCAGGGGTCAGTACATGTCCGAGCTCCGGGCGGGCAGCCCCAGCTGCCGCCGCGCCAAGGGTCAGTACATGTCCGGGCTCCGGGCGGACGCCGCGGCTGCCGCTCGGGGAGGGGTCCGTGGCGGCTCACTAGGAGATGGTCCGTGGCGGCTGTGGCTGACGGGAGTTCTGCAGGGGGCTGGTATCCACCTAGGCTTTGTCTTCAAATATGTGTGTGCATGAAACTATCGCTGATTTCTCCCGTTCACGCCCATGTCCAGTCGTTCTGCAACAGCGGAGTTGGTGCTATCGTGATTTGACGCATATTCTGCACGCCATTTTCTGTCGAGCATTCTCTTCGTTAACTAAAGCTGTGCTCACCTGGTCTGCTGCGCCAGATGTCGCTACTTTTGTGTTGTGCATTTCGTCTGGCTTATTCCGGACACGATTTGTTAATTTAAAGCTTATCTTCCACCTACTTTTACTCGTCCGTAAGCTCGCGATCCAACCCTCGCATGCACCTTTGCTTCTGCTATTCCTGATCTGTTCGCTCGGGCCGGAGTGCAGAATACGACGGCGATTGCGGTGCCTTGGCTGTCCTGAAGCACCTGTTGGCCGCCCTGGAGGAGCCTGCCTCTCTGTACGCCATCCCCTGCACCTCACGTGAGTTAGTCGGCTTGCTTTTAGACACATCGAGATGGGGTGAACCGTCCTAACAGGATTGTTAATGTCATGCAAGATCGAAGCTTACACACAGTTCAACTCAAACTCAAGACTCTAACGCAACTAACCAACTAACTAACTAACTGACTAACCAACTAACTAACTAATTAACTAACCTCAACTAATTAACCCTAACTCAAAATGGACTCCTTATCGCACTGTATCGTAGCATTCTCTTATTTTCATGCTGGGTAGTGATTGGTCTGGACCGTTTGGTATTCCAGGGCTAAATTTACTTTTGTGGCTCATGATGACGGCTTGGCTCGTTTGCAAGATAATCGGTGAAGTGCGTGGCTTCAACGTTCCGCTGTTTCCACCAAGTCTCGGCTGCATTTCCAAGATGATGAATGTAACAGTGACTGACCCCCGTCCTCCACGTGTGGAGTTCGAGCCGCTGCTGACTGACCCCTGTCCTCCAGGTGTGGAGTTCGAGCCGCTGCTGACCGATCCCCCGTCCTCCAAGTGTGGAGTTTGAGCCACTGCTCACTGACCCTCGTTCTCCAGGTGTGGAGTTTGAGCCGCTGCTGACTGACCCAGGTCCTCCAGGTGTCGAGTTTGACCCACTGCTGACTGACCCCCGCCCTCCAGGTGTGGAGTCTGACCCACTGCTGACTGACCCCCGTGCTCCAGGTGTGGAGTTTGAGCCGCTGCTGATGGCGGAGCGGGCCTCGTCGCTGGACCGGGGTCTGGACGAGGTGGAGGCTGCCGCGGCGGAACCGGCGCCTGGCGGCCGCCCGCAGGGGCGCGCCGTCGACGTCGATCCGGAGTTTGTCCGCCAGGGTCTGCGGGACCTGATGCAGCAGGTGGCGCGCATCGAGAGGCAGAGGGTACGGCCCTGGTGGGCGGGGAGGTAGCTGACGGGGTACGGCCCTGGTGGGTGGGGAGCCAGCTGACGGGGTACGGCCCTGGTGGGTGGGGAGCCAGCTGACGGGGCACGGCCCTGATGGGTGGGGAGCCGGCTGACGGGGTACGGCCCTGGTGGGTGGAGGAGCCGGCTGACGGGGTACGGCCCTGGTGGGTGGGGAGCCAGCTGACGGGGTACGGCCCTGGTGGGTGGAGGAGTTAGCTGACGGGGTACGGCCCTGGTGGGTGGGGAGCCAGCTGACGGGGTACGGCCCTGGTGGGTGGGGAGCCAGCTGACGGGGTACGGCCCTGGTGGGTGGAGGAGCCTGCTGACGGGGCACGGCCCTGGTGGGTGGAGGAGCCTGCTGACGGGGTACGGCCCTGGTGGGTGGGGAGCCAGCTGACGGGGCACGGCCCTGGTGGGTGGGGAGCCAGCTGACGGGGTACGGCCCTGGTGGGTGGAGGAGTTAGCTGACGGGGTACGGCCCTGGTGGGTGGGGAGCCAGCTGACGGGGTACGGCCCTGGTGGGTGGAGGAGCCTGCTGACGGGGTACGGCCCTGGTGGGCGGGGAGGCAGCTGACGGGGTACGGCCCTGGTGGGTGAAGGAGCCAGCTGACGGGGTGCGACCCTGGTGGGCGAGGGGAGACGGGGGCACGGCCGGGGTGGGGAGCTGACCGGGCGGAGAACCCGGCCGGGCTCTCTGCAGGCTGTTCTGTAGCACTTGTGTCGAAATAGGATTCAGTGAGAAGCCGATATTTTTAATCTGGGCCTCTGTAGGTAGCCTGAAGTGTGTGTCAGCCAGGAAACTCCCGTTCACTCTGTCGACATCGGTGTCCGCGTCAGTCACGGATCAGGAGCTATGTTGTGACGATCCCGCGGGTCGATTACGGCTTAGCTAACACCGATAGCGCGGCCACCGTCATCTCCGCATGCTAATTAGGCCAGTTGCCACGTGCCTAAAGTAGGGGGGCCAGATAGCGGTTCCGTCCCGTCCCAGCGACTACACAGTCCGGGGCTGGCGTTGCCCGCGGCGTTAGTGGCGGCTGCTGTGCCGTGCTTGCCGGCTGTCTGAGCGTGCGACGGGGTCGTCCTCAGGACGAGGCGTTGACCCAGTGTCAGACGGCCGAGCGCGACCTGGAGGAGACGCGCGTCTCTCTGCAGGACAACCAGAAGCATCTGGACAAGGCTCAGCGCGAGGTGGTCTCTGTCCGCGCTGAGAAACACTTCCTCGAGACGCAGATCAGCAGCACGCAGTCCGAAGTCTCCAGCTATGTGAGCTGACCGGCGTGCGCTCTCATGAGCATGTGCACGGGACGGGTCTCACCAGGGCCTCCCAGTCCGCTCTGTCATAGTGGAAATAGCATGTCTCACTGCTACCCTGCGGGGTAATTGTCAAGGTAACAAACGTTAAAAAACAGCAGGCGCGGAGCTGTTGAATGGCGGTGAGTTTCGAGGATAGCCGCTGAATTATAAAGATTCGCCGGATTGTTTAATACTTACTTCCGTGCAGTGGGAGGCATTGGCTTTGTCTGTTGTTCCTTTCAAGGGTGTGTTTCGTGATTTTGCACCTTAGTTTCTGCGGAAAAAGGGTCACAAATCTGTGGGTTGCTGTGACACATTTTTGGAAGCATAGTTGATGTTAAGATAGCTTATTGTTGGTTGTTAGACAAATATTGAATGTGGTATGAACTGCTGGATTGATTTTACTGCTCAATGGCAGCACATGAGCACAATTCCCTGAAATTCATAATGTAGCACAGCCCGCAGTGTCGTAATCTACGTGCTTCAGACAGAAAATTCGGCCCGTTTATGTAATTGGTCTGTTCTTGTTACTAGGCAGATCAGTCTTCTCTGCCTGTTCAGTTTTTATTTTTACAATGCAGGTTCTGGTCCCGAGCGTGACCAAAATGTTGCGTCTAGAAAGTTGGCGCGTTCATGAATGTCAGATGTGACTGTGGTCAGCGAATGACTAGCCTCCACCACCGTGGCGTGTCGGAGTCATGCGCTGACAGCAGAGTGATGTGTCGACAGGAGGAGACGATCAAGAAGCAGTCGAGCGACGTACGGTCGCTGCAGGAGCGCACCGTTCGTCTGGAGACGAACAACTCCAGACTGCAAATGGAGAAGGAGGTGCTCGAGGTACGCACGTGCGCTCAGAGAGAGAGAGAGAGAGCGAGAGCGAGAGCGAGAGCGAGAGCGAGAGCGAGAGCGAGAGCGAGAGAAAGAACACGTCTCTCAGTGGAGTCCTCTGTTGGCGGTATTTACATTGAGTTGTCTGGGCTTCAGAGCGCGTTCTTGACGTGCTGCTGAGTGACGGAAGCTGTGCATTCCGCTGAATTCTGGCCGGCGCCATCTGCTGTTTGTATCAGACGATTTTTATCGTCTCCAACTAATCTCCAGAGGAATGCCGTATCTGTCGCATGCCACGCTGCGGTCCTCGCGGCAGTCGGCGGGTGAACTGTGCGCGCTCCTGCCCGGTGCTGACTGGTGACCCGCGCGCGCTGCTGTCCAATGATGACCGGTGACCCGTGCACGCTGCTGTCCGGTGCTGACTGGTGACCCGTGCGCGCTGCTGTCCGGTGCTGACCGCTGCCCACTGGCCGTGCTGCAGGACAAGTTGACGGCGCTGCGCCGTCACGAGGCGCAGCAGGAGGAGGAGCGGCGCGTGCTGCGCCACGGCCTAGAGTCGCAGGAGACGCGTGCCACCCAGCTGGAAGCCACGCGCCGCGGCCTCCAGGGTGACCTGCAGCGCTTCCAGCAGCTAACGCGAGAGCGCGACGCACAGATCGAGGTGGGCCGGGCGCAGCAGCGGCACCTGGAGAGAGCTGGTGGCGCCGATTGCGTTCTGCTGGTGCCGACCGGCACGTGAAGAGTCCGCTTGTGCCAGCTGGATGAGGGACGGCCCGCGCCTGGGTGGCTGACAGATCTTACAATTTGGAGTTTTTGGGAGCTTGTTGTTTAGATGGCTAGCGATGTGTTAAACAGCTTGAGTTATGAAGTGTAGAATTTTCGTTCGCTGATTTCCGCGGGGCGATTAATGGTTCGCAGAAAGTCCAGCTCAATCGCTTAACGGCTGTGAAGTGAGCGTCCCCTCAAGCAAGCTGCACTGACTGAAGGGGCTTCGGAAGCCGAAGTATGGTGATCGTCCACGTGCATTTAGGCGTAACTGTGAGAAGCGCTTGTGTCGATGCGTTTTGCGTCTGTGTGTTGATTTGAACTGGGCTGTAATTCGATTGACCCGTTTTCCGGTGTGCTGTACGGGGTTGCCGTGCCGCGTCTCTCGGAGACTTCCGTGTCTCCGCATGCGGCCAGGCTGGCGGCGTCACCTCTCCTCGTGCGTGTCGTGTCCCTGTGGTGTGCCACTCCGCCTGGGCGCGCGCGTGCCGAGCGGCGGCCGTGTGACAGCGCCGCCTCCTGTCGCGCGTGTCGGCAGTCGCTGCAGTCGCGCCTGGAGGCGTGCCAGAAGTCACTGTCGGCGTCGGAGGAGCGCTGCGCCCAGCTGCGCCTCAGCGGCGAGCGGCTGCAGCAGCAGCTGACCAGCGCCGACGGCGGCCAGGCCGAGCTCAAGGACCAGGCGGCCCAGCTCACCCGACAGCTGACTGAGGCCAACGGGCAGCTGACGCAGCTGCAGGACCGGCTGCAGCAGGTGCGGTCGACTCGCGTCAAGCGCTCCGTCCTCTTCGTATGGCTGACGTTTGATGGGAAACGCGCATGGAGGTATTGCGTGTTGATGACGTGACACGCAGCGATTTATGCCTTAGGAACACGCGTGCATGGTATTGTGTTTTACGTCCGAGATGAGCACCTCAGCGTCAGCAACAGACCGCCCAGTAGGAGGGGGCAGTGACGAAGGAGCGGCTAACTTCTGTGTATGCTTCAGGCCCAGCGTCAGCAACAGACCGCCCAGCAGGAGGGGGCAGTGACGGAGGAGCGGCTAACTCCTGTGTATGCTTCAGGCCCAGCGTCAGCAACAGACCGCCCAGCAGGAGGGGGCAGTGACGGAGGAGCGGCTAACTCCCGTGTATGCTTCAGGCCCAGCGTCAGCAACAGACCGCCCAGCAGGAGGGGGCAGTGACGGAGGGGCGGCTAACTCATGTGTATGCTTCAGGCCCAGCGTCAGCAACAGACCGCCCAGCAGGAGCGGGTGGTAGCGGAGGAGCGGGTAACTCCTGTGTATGCTTCAGGCCCAGCGTCAGCAACAGACCGCCCAGCAGGAGGGGGCAGTGACGGAGGAGCGGCTAACTCCCGTGTATGCTTCAGGCCCAGCGTCAGCAACAGACCGCCCAGCAGGAGCGGGCAGTGACGGAGGAGCGGCTGACGGCCATACAACAGAGCAACGCGGAACTGAAGCGACACAACGAGCAGCTGGTGGAGAGGAGCAGCGCCTCGCAGCGCGAGCTGACGCAGGAGCGGCTGTCCCGCTCGCAGCTGGAACTGGACATGAAGAACACCAAACAGGTGAGGGCGTCGGCATTGGAGCCGGGCAGACCCACCCTTAGCTGGAGCTGGTCATGTAGAACTCTAGCCACGTGGGTGAGGGGAGCCGGAAGCTGGGCGCCTGGCGATGACCAGAGCTGCACAGCAGAGAACATACGCATATCAAGATGTGTAAACAAGCTTGTGATTAGCCAGGTCTCGAGTGGCGTGCCGCTATGCACTCAGTGCATCAGTCATGTATGGACCAGGCTCGTAAAAGTTACGTGATATGGCGCCCGCTCGAGTGGGTCATGCAGATGGACTTGCCCGGATGATTATCATTCCTCACCGCGTGCTAGCGTTGCCGCAGCAGCCTAACGCTAATGAATGCGTCTCCCCTGCGTCAGGCTCTGCAGCAAAAGTCGAGCCGTGAACAGGAGCTCCTGGACAAGGTGAAGAAGCTGGAGGCAGCCAAGGCTGAGCTGACCGAGAAGCTGACCACCCTTCAGGTAAATGAGTAAGGACGACGGCGTCGCCACCATGCACCGATTCCTATGACGTCATATGACGACGGACCGAGACCGCGAACCTCTGTCAGTGTCAACAGAGCCCGTGTGGGCGCGTGCAGTCGAGAGCCTGCGCTGACCGGGCTGGTCGCTGTGTGTCGCTGCTTCAGCGCAACATGGCTCAGCTTGCGGTGGAGCGGAACGACTTGGAGCGGAACCAGGTGCAGCTGGAGAAGGACCGCGCCGCGCTCATGAAGACGCTCGACAAGGTCAGCCCAGCGCGCCGGTGTCGACCGTAGTCCCGTCGGCGGGCCGGAGCACAGTAACACGAGATGTCATGTACAGGTCACACACCCGCACGGTCAGTCGCCGTGCAACTAGATGACGCCACAATCATACAGCCGCTGACAGTGGTTGGGTATTGCCTGAGGTGCCTTCAGTGACGCCATGTTCACCGCCGGCTGTTGGCAAGGTGCAGCGGATCGGCTCTGTAATATCAGGAGATCGTGCTGGCAGTTCTGTCGAGTTGTCTGACGACAGCTTGGTCCGACGGCCTGTGTCGGCAGTGTTTGACAGTGCTGGCAGTGCACTGCACTCGAACACGATTCTATCGTGATTGGCTGCCACACAAACGCGTCTGGCGGGCGGGCTCTGTCCGGGCGTCGTGCCGGAAATGTCTCGGCCGTTGGCACGGTCGCGAGCCGTCCTCGCTGAGCGGCAATGCGCTCTCTGGCTATGGGTGAGCCGCCATTGTGCCCCGCTCGACCTCAGGTGGAGCGGGAGCGGCTAGTGGCCGACGAGACGGCGGCCAAGACCAGTCTGCAGCGGTCGGCGCTGGACCGCACGCTCACCTCTGCAGAACAGGAGAACGCGGAGCTGCAGCGGCAAGTGCGCAGCTTGGAGCAGCAGCTGAGCGGCCTGGAACAGCAGCACCTGCAGCGACTGACGCAGATCAAACAGGGCAGGGTGGGTGCAGGACAGTGGCCGACAGATCAGGCAGGGTAGAGTGGTTGCTGCAAAGTGGCCGACAGATCAGACAGGGCAGGGTGGCTGCAGGACAGGGGTCGACAGACCAGACAGGAGCATCTGGCCCGTGCTTCGGTTGACGGTCGGACCGGACAGGAACGAGGTCTGGCACGAGTTGCAACTTGCCACTACGCCGGCAGTAGCGGGCATTGCTCCGCTGTATGGTGTCATTAAGCCAGCGCCATGCTCAGATTGGCTTCTTATCCGAGATTAATTCCCTCGTTTGCGACAGGAACTGCCATTTGACGTGGATCAGATGCGAACGCGCTACACCCAGCTGGAGAAGACCATGGAGTCGAAGGAGCGCAGCTATAAACAGCGCATCGCCGGGCTGGAGCAGCAGGTGACAAAACTCGGCCCACTGCACTGGCGGCCACTGGTGCTCACTGATGGCCACCGACGATCATTTATCACCACTGGCGGTGACTGATGATCGCCGCCTATCACCTGTAGTCATGGATGATAGTCATGCCGCCTCTGGCAATGGAGGTCGCTGATGATCGGCCGCTGGCGTGCGCTCGCGGTCTTCGACGTCAGTGACGGTCACTGGCGTGCGGACTGGCAGACACGGTTGCTTGCCAATCACCTTCGGCGCATGCGCGGATTGGGTGTGCGTGCCGAGAGTGGTGTGGTGCCGTCGGCGGCGGCGAGCGGGCCGACGCGGTGTCGTGTTTGCCGACGTGACGCGCCACCCCGCCTGACAGATCAAGACCCTGAAGGAGCAGCTGGCGCAGGAGATCCGCAAGCGCCAGGAGTACATGCTGCGCAGCTCGCGCGCCGGCGAGGAGATCCGCGAGATTCGCTCCACGCTGGACGACAGCCTGCGGGCCGTCGGCGGAAACGAAGGTGCGGCGAGCGGTGACGTTAGTGGAGTGACGTCACACCATCAGACGCGGACACGTCTGCACCTCCATTCTCTGTTGGGCCTTGCTTGACATGGGCGGACGTATTGGAGCTATCCGTGTCCGCATTGAACCCCTTGCCCTGCCAGTGTACAGAGAGTGGGTCCGAAGTTTTGCCTCGACGGCGCGAAATTCAAGCAATTAACCACAACAGAGCTTCTCGTGAACCTTGAGCAAATATCTCACCAAAATGGGACGGTCACTGCAAGCTTTCCATGTTGTGACCTAGTCTGTGCAAGGCTATGGCTGTGGTTGACGTGACGTCGCAGTAAGGCTCCATGTGACGGGCCGAGTGTCCTTGGGGAAAGCTGACTGCCTCGCCTCAAGGTGGCACTAGTCCCCGCGGTGGCTGGTGCTCAGGCACATTGGTAGCCGCCATCTCAATCATGACGAAAGATAGCGTCACTGTATGGAAAGAACATTTGTTTGCTGTCCAAACTTGATCGGTTAAGTTGACCCCTCTCAAAAGTGGCAGCAGGGCAATGTATCAAATTAAATGTGACTGAGGCAAAGCTTGGAACTTTACAAAGAACAAACAAATTAGCTGCATGCAAAAACATCACAAACAATTTTAAGCTGACGGCAAGGGGATGTTTGTCGGCAGGCCTAGCATAGCTGAAGTCCAACGCTTGATGTTAAGGTCAATGTTCAATGCCTAAGCTGAATGCCTCCATGAGATCGTTATTGTTTGCCAGCTGGTCACGTCAGTGTAGCCGGGTTGGCTGGGAGCTCCACTCTGTGTGGCGGAGGCCGCAGTTTGTGATCGTTCGCGGCCATGTCGGCAGAGCTGGACGCCGGCGCGCTGGACTTTGAGTCGCGCCGCCTGGACGCGCTGGTGGACCGGCACCGGCTGGCGGCCCGCGCCGGCCGCACTGTCCGCGCGCCGGTGGCCCGCTCTCCGGTCCGCTCACGCACCGTCAGTCCCAGGTCAGTCACGTCCCGCCCTAACTTGAGGTGCAGGCCAGTCGTGTCCCGTCAGTACCAGGTCAGTCACGTCCCGTCAGCTCCAGACCAGTGCCGCACCACCAGTCTCAGGTCAGTTGATCGAAACCGAACTGGCAACCTCTTGCCTGGGTACCGGTGAAATTATGGTTAATTTATGTATGACAGCGCGTCCAACGGCTTTGCGTAATGCCTCCCCACTAACCGCACGCATCTTTTGAATTCCGATAATTGATATGCCTTACGTTGCTGAGACGGTTCTCACGCGTCGTGACCTGGCTGGATGGCCGACCACTGACCTCTGATGTGCCCTGGGTCAGGTCGCCTCGTTTCCGTGTGCCGACGTCGCCCGTCCGTCGGCTGCCGGGCGCGGCGCGGCGCAGCCTGGCCTTCCGCTGATGGCCGCCGCCGCCGCCGGTGCGGCCCCGTTTCGCGCGGCACGGAGGAGCCGCTGCTGCAGGGTCGGAGCCAGGGCACCATTCGCACGCGGCGCGCCCGGCCCGGGACCGCCGCTGTGTCAGCACTGCCAGTACGGTGTCAAGTGTAATAGCACCGGCCGGGTGGCGGCCGCGCCGGCCGGCGCGCCTTCGGCACGCCGCCTCACCGCCTCAGACTACAGTGGGCCGCGGGAGCCGCGATCTCTAGTCTTGCTAGTCAGTAGTGCATCGCGCCGCGGTGTCAGTGGGAGTTGGAGGCCTGCGCGTCGTACAGCTCATCTCCTTGAACGGCGTGTTGGTGTAATCCTGAAGCGGAATCCGTCCATACCGGTGCCTGTGAATCCGTCCGCCGGTGCCTGTGAATCCGTCCGATCTTTCCGTTTGTGATCAGAGACGACGTGGCGACGAAAGGCCTTGGATGCTGCTTCAGTGTTTCGCTGTTCACCACGTTTTACACCGTATTTGAATCGCGGGTGAAAATCAGGCTTGCATTTCGAATGTTTACGTCAATTTCTCCCTTGTTTCGCCCATTTTCCCAGTGGCGACTGATGCCCATCTAGTGAGGTCCCCATCTCCCGCTGTGCTCCTGGACCCTTTGCTGGCGCTGTTGGGTCGCCCACCGTGGACCCTTCAGCGAGACCCTGCCGCCCCTTTCCTCTGTGTGCTGTGTGCCCGCGTGTCTGCCCCGCCAGCCGCGTCGCCGCCTGTCTGCCCTCTTGGAGACGGAGCGGTGACGGGCCGCCTATCCCCGCACGCGCCGGACCGCCGGCCGGCCGGATCTGCACGCGTTCTAATCTCGGTAGAACACCGCTGCAGTCCGGAACACCTTCGTCACCCGCCCTGTCCTCTCCTCTCTCCTCTCTCCTCTCCTCTGCCCG